GGTGTTTTTTTAGGGGGGAATGTACCTTGAGCTATTAAAAAACATCGCAATCCTCCGTGAGTCACTGAAAAAGTTCAGCGGACTACGGCGGCACTATTTCAAAATTTTTTTACCCTCTATGTCACTGCCATCAGATTGGGCTCTAACGGTGTCAAACCGCCAAAAAGTCGGTGGGAGGAGGATCCGCCGCGCCACGCCGCTGGGAAGGAGGGGCCGCCACGCCGCCGCCGGAGAGGAGGGGCCACGCCGCCGGGAAGGAGGGGCCACGCCACCGGGAAGGAGGGGCCACGCCACGAAAGGAGGATCCGCCCGCCACGCCTGGAGGGGCCACCACGCCGACGTCCGTCGGATCTTTGGGAAAGGAGGGGCGTCGGATCTAGGGAGGGGCGGCGGATGAGGGGCCGGAGCGCGGGGGTGGGGTGGCTCACCACAGGCATTCGGTCGACTTCTCGATCGAATCGGTTCCTCGGTCATTCTGTGCTCTTCGGTCATCAAAACTCAGGACCGATCGGTCTTTGCAAAAAACGAAGACCGAGGAAGTTCGGTCTCGGTTAGTTCGGTTCGGTCTCGGTCACGACCGAACTAACCGGACCTGAGTATGCTTGCTATTTGAAGGCAAAAAAATAACAACACAATATATAAAACAAACCACACATTATTATGACAAGTTCTAGCACACAACTTTCTCAGTTCTCACAAATCACAATCACACATAATGACATAACAGAAGTACAGAACAAGAACAAGGCAGCAGCCCTTCAGTTCAATTGTTTAACAAATAACAAGATAAGGTAGCAGGTAGCAGCAGCTAGCAGTCCCAGGTTGGCACTCCAGCACTCCAGCAGCCCTTCAACATCACAAATTCAAGTTTTCATCTCCATAAGCTAGTTTCCCAGCACTCCAGCAAGCAGAACCTGAAGGTGTATCGACAACGACAAGTTAAAAACTGCACACTGCACAGGTAATGTACATTAGTAGAAATTAAAAATATAAAAACAGTACAACATTCCTACATGATATTTAAGATGGCTTGGAGCAGGAGGACTTTTTGCTTAGCTGTGACTTAGCCTGTGACTTAGCCTTTGAGGATCTGGTTTGTTGTGACCTGCTGGTACCTTGAACTTGGGACTTGGAAGCATTGTCCGCAATTGCCAAGTCTTTGAACTCTTGAATCAACTCTGAAATAAAAGAGGTACAAGTGATTAGTAGATGTTGCAGACTTGCAGTAAAAATAATAAAGAGAAGATTTGAGTTATTGAATCACCTTCTTGATACTTGGTCAATTGTTCAGTGTTCTCTACAACATCTATTGAAGTTGGTTTTCTAAGCCAATCTTGTGTACAGACAAGAGCTTCTACCATAAATGGGGTGAGTGAAGTTCTAAAGTCATCTAGTACACGCCCACCTGTGCTAAAGGCTGACTCACTTGCAACTGTAGAGATTGGGATTGCAAGAACATCACGAGCCAATTTGGACAGTATTGGAAATCTAGAGGACTGCCCCTTCCACCACTTAAGAATATCAAACTTTTTGTGATCCTCTTCACACTCTTCTGCCAAGTACTTGTCTAGTTCAGTCCTACCTCCCCTAGACCCACTGCAGCTGCCAGACCCACTGTTGAGCCTCATCCTCTTAGCAATTCTTTTCTTGAACTTTGTAGCATCATCTTCAGCTTGTTTAGATGGGGGTGAATCACTTGATTGTGGACTCCCATCACTTGAATACATGGATCTGTACTCTTCAAACAAGTCATGCAAACACTTGTTTATTGCAGCCCAAACTTTCTGCCCAATGCCTGAACCATACATTTCATCTACAACAACTTCAACATACTCAGAAAGCTTGTACCTTGGATCAAGGACCACAGCAACAAAAATCAGCAAGTTGATGTTCTCCTTCTCCTTCCCCTTCCCTTTCTCCTTTTCCTTCTCCAACTCTAAATTCTCATGCCATTGCCCCCAATACTTGTCATACTTATCTTTCATTCTCCTAGCCATTGCTGTTTGGACAGGATCAGAGCTATTCTGCCATTCATGCACCAGCTCATTGATCTCACCAATCTCATGGAACAAGGTGTGAGCGGTCACATTTAATGATGCTGAAACACGTTTAGTGATACCAGCAAAATGTCCCAGAAAATCAGCTAGCTTCCTTGCATTGTCCCAGTCTTGCTCTTCTGGAACACCTGGACCCGGAACACCTGGCTTTATGTCACTTAGTAGCTCTATTGTGTAGTATGGATCTTCTTCTCCATACCTTGTAAACACCTTTTCATAGGTACAGCAAAGCAAGCACTAGCATGTCATATGTGGAGTTCCACCTAGTGCAAACATCAAGCCTTAGAAATGCCTTGCATTCTACCTTCTCTAAAGCAGCACATTCTTTGAACTTAACCAACCTTGATGTACCATTCTTGACAAACCTCACAGCAGCACGAACACGCTTAATTGAATTGTCCACTTCCTTTAATCCATCTTGCACAATCAAGTTAACAATATGGGCAGCACATCTCATGTGAAGGTACTTTCCCCCTGCTACACTAGTTTTCATACTATTTAAGTGCCTCCTCAAATAACTAACACCACTATCATTTGCACTAGCATTATCAACCGTCACAGTCATTACTTTGTCTAGACCCCACTCAAGTAACACTTTCTGCAAGTGTTTCCCAATATCATCCCCCTTTTTGCCTTTTACCATGAAGAAACTAATTATCTTCTTATGCAAGCACCAATCATTATCAATAAAGTGGACTGTCACAGTCATGTAGCTCTCTTGTGTTTGTGATGTCCAACCATCAGTTGTGAGGCATACTCTATCACAATGTTCTTTTTCTTCAGTTTTGCCTTTTGCTTTGAAAATATAGCTGGACAGTATCCCTAGTGCATGTTCTTCTAGAAGGCACATTGAAGCGTGGGCAAGCAAGAGCCATTAAATTCCTAAAACCAGGCTTTTCACCAAATGCAAATGGTAACTCATCTTCTATAATCATTTGAGAAAATGCAGCCCTAAGCATTTCAGGATCAAACTTCCAAGTACCTATGCTATTTCCTTCATTTACCAAGACACCTTGCTTTGAATCATCACTAACTCTATGGGGATTACGCTTGCAGCTGTTAAAATGCCTACGCATAGCAGACGTACCATTGTGCACTGGATGTGCAGCGATCTCGGTATTACAGTAATTGCATTTGCCCCTGACCACCACACCATTTTCCTTGATTCTTGTGAAGTGTGTCCACATGTCTGATCTTGATGCAATCTCCTTTCTCGGCTTCTCATTGTCTTCATCAACATCAACAATCTCCTTGTCATCACCAAAGACAAGATCTCCTTTCTTGCAATTCCCTTCCTCATATTCTTGCGCTTGCCCATGGGATTCAACCCACTCAGAAACCTCCTTCTCAATGTCCTCAACCTCTTCAGCTTGCGACATCTGAAAAATTCATAAAACTGGTATTAACAACCTACTACTACAAATCTACAAAATAGCCAGAAACCTACTACTACAAATCTAGGCATGTGAATTAATCGATCTTGCAATTTCAGATGCATCAGAGACTCAGAGTTAGAGCAAAAGCACTCACACTGCAGGAAGCAATTGACGAGCCGTCATTGGAGTCGTGGCCGCCCTGCTTGAGTTGTGGCTGGCGGGTGCCCCGCTGCAGGCAGTGCCCTCTTTGAGTCGTGGCCGCCTGCTATGACTTCTTTGAGCTGAGCTTGAGTCGTGGGTTGTGGCCGATCGTGGGCGTCGTGCAGATCGCTCCCTGGACTTATAGCGCCCGCCGTCGCTAATCGCCATGTGGTCGCCGCCTGCGCCGATCGCCGCTCGAGTCGAGGCACGGCCTCGCCCGAAACCCTCACAGGGGCGGATCTGCGGCGGCGGCAAGTGGTGGTCAAAAGTGCGGAGGCCGGAGGGGGTCAAGGTGCGGAGAGGGGATACGGATAGAAGCAGGAAGGAAGACTGGAAGAGTTCGGAGTCTTACTCTTATATACCTAGGGTTACATCAGTTCGGTCAGTTCGGTCACTTCGGTTAACCGACGCATATGACCGAACTTATATCGGTTACTTCGGTTAGTTGAGAGCCAAGACCGAACTCATGACCGAACTTTTCGGTCTCGGTCTTTTCGGTTCGGTCTTCGGTCTTCGGTTAATTATGCCCAGAGTGAGGGGTGGCGACCGGATCCGGCGAGGGAGGGAGGGAGGAGGGGGCCGGGAGCGGAGGGTAGGGGCGGCGGCCGGAGGGTAGGGAGGCGGCGCCAGCGGGAGGAGGGGAGGGAGGCGACGCCGGCGGGAGGAGAGGGGGCGCGGGGCTGGGAGGAGCGGGGGCGCTGGGGTTAAGTAGGATATTTTTTTTATTGCCAAGTGTGCCAGATCGGGGCACTCGGCAAAGTTTTGTTTCCATTTTTTCTTCTCTTTTTTTTTGCCGAGTGCTATACATCTGAGCACTCGGCAAAGTTTTTTTTTATTTTTTTCTTCTCCTTTTTTTGCCGAGTGTTATAGATCTGAGCATTCGGCAAAGTTTTTTTTCCATTTTTTTCTTCTCCTTTTCCAGAAAAAAAGATTTTATTTATTTGCCGAGTGTTTTTTTTAATACTCGGCAAACCCCCTCTTTGCCGAGTGTTTATTTTTTGACACTCGGCAAACCCCCTAGTTGTCGAATGTTTTTTTTTGCCGAGTGTTTTTAGCGCATCACTCGACAAAGAACTTGTTCGCCAAGTGTCCGAGAGAATACACTCGGTAAAAAATAAAAACACTTGGCAAATTTGAGGATTCCGGTAGTGATAGACGATGAGTTGAACAAGATTCATGGCTAGCCCATGATCATCTGCCTCCTCTGATCCTTCTCGCCAAGGCTGTGCCAGACAGACCCATCGCCCTACAAATAAATTGGTTCACTTCATCAGAAGCTCAGACACCCAGTCTCGCACAAAGCATTGAGTACGTGGCTGCATTGCAACATTCCCAAGCGCGTATCCATCAACACAGCTTGCGTGCAATGGGTGCCGCCAGGACGCCGCTCCTCGCGCTCGCCGCCCTTCTGCTCCTTGCCGCCGCCATGACCGTCGGCGGCCACGAGCACGCGCTCGCGCGCCTGGCTGATGATCATCCCACCGCTGAGCGGCCGCACAAAAGCATTGGTGAGTAATAACCTGACCTCCTTCAGTTCTCTGCCACCTGATGAGCTATCACATCCATCTGTTTGTCTCGCCGTGGCCGTGGGCTGCTAACACGAACGCGCGTGCCATGGCAGTTACACCAAGGACACAGCAGCAGCTGAAGAAGTTCTTCAAGAACCAAGCGTCGGACATGGCCGACCTCCTCCCTAGCCAGGGGCAGCAGGGCGGCAGCAGCTAGGACGACGATCAGAGCGAGCCGGGCAGTGGCCGGCAGAGCAGCAAGCTGGGCGACGGGAGCAACAACGGCAGTGGGCAGAGCCGGCAGGCCCCGGCCACCCACTCCAGCACGTACCTGTACAGCTACCAAGTGGGGACGCCCCCACAGAGCGTGACCGGCGTCCTGGACATCTCCAGCGAGCTCGTGTGGACGCAGTGCGACTTGTGCGCCACCTGCGGCGGCGTCACACCGGCCACGCCCTTCTACGACTCGAAGCTGTCCACCACGATGGCGGTGGTGGAGTGCACGAGCGACACGTGCCAGAAGTTCGCCGCGCAGAACTGCAGCGCGGACGTCTCCCGGTGCGGCTACACCTAGGCGGGCACGTATCGCTCCTCGGCAGCCTCATCCAGGCCGGTACGCACATGATCTACGATATCCATGGTTCGACACTGGCGTTTGAATCGCTACCGCCGCCGTCATCATCAGCTCCATCGCCACACATCTTGTCGTTGCTGGTGCTGTTTGCCCATTTCTTGTGGGTCGCCGTGTACATGATTTTGTGAACTAGAAAGATTCTATGCGCCTTGCTACGGGTATGAATTGAAGAAGAAATACGAATACATTTGCAGAATTTCTATTCATCTATAGGATGATTTGTTGTGTCTTAATCAATCAGTTTTCTATGATTGAGATTTCTTTGAGATCCGTGCTATCTTGTGTGGGTGGGCCGCTTCAATTTGTTTCTGGGCTTGTCTTCAGTGCTGTATTTTTTTCTTTTTTTCTTTTCCTTATCGATTCAGACATTTTGTTGCTCGGTAGAGGATAGAGAGCGCGCTTGTTTCTCCGGAGGCGGAGGCGTAGGCGTAGGTGCCGACGCCAGCGGCGGCTATGGTGTTGCCGGAGGCGGAGGTGGCGGCAGAGGCGGAGGCGGAGGCGGAGGCGGAGCCGGTGGTGCCGCCGACAACTCCAGCTCTTGCGTCACTGTCGGCGAAGGACAGTGCTTCTCTCGTCGTCACCGTCGATTAGCTGAAGGTTCATGTTGTCATTTGTGTCTTCCATTTGATTTTGGATTTCATTCATTTTGGTTCGGGTGCGGGCCCTAGTTCTGGATCTGCCTCCTCCTCACCTTCCATGCCTACATCACCGGCATCATCTACGCCGTCTACGCCATCACCAAGTAGTAGCTTATTAGCTTAGCTAGTACTGTTCCTTGCTTGCTCGCCATATGTATGGTATGGATGTCGATTCCAATACCTGCTAGTACCTAGGTAACACCTGCTCTGCTCTTCTATGATTGTATCTATCAATTCATATGCCGATCTAGCCGAATTGTGTGTCAGTGTGTGGTCTTCGATGAATCGAACAAACAGTTATTAAGCTGCTACTAGTATATTCATGGGTATGTCCTGCTTGTCTCAAGTTACTGCTGTCTCTGTATGCATCGTTTCAGTAGGTACTAGTATAGTAGTACTAGTGTTTTGCTATCCACCTTGCTCATCTATTACTGCAACGCGAGAACAATAAGTTGAGAGATTGTTCATTCACTACTCTGCCTGTATTCAAATTTTAGTCCTGAATATTTAAGTTATGGCTTGCATGCTTTTGTTTGTCTAGTAGCACATAGGAGCTGTTTGGTTGTAGAAATGGAAACGCAAACGTACAGTTTTTCAGCAGTGACCCATCCGACAGCAGCTTGTTTGGTGTGACCGAACTTTAGACAGCTGCTGCTCAGTCATTTTTCAGTTTGATTCAGTGTTCCCGAAATCTTTGCTGGTTGTCAATCTTTGGTTGCTGTGTAGCTGAGTTTTCAGCAAGTTTTTTATTTGTACTTTGTTCAATTGCTTCCATGTTGTTTTGACAATTTCCTAATTGTTCCTAGGGTCGACACTTCACTAGTTGAGGTGTGTGACCTTGACAATTAGAAGAACCACGAACTGTTAGATGTATACCTGTCTCTATCTCTGTTTTCCAAATGAATGTGTCATGTCCTGTATCAAGGGGAAGGTAGTCCATAGCAGTTTTAGAGAAAAAAAAACATGAAGGAAAAATAGTAATCAAAACAAAGATGGCAATATGCTGCTACAGATGTACTTTTTTTAATGCATTGATGCTATCTAATTTCTATTGGTGCAGCACCAAGACAAAAACAATATGTTAACTCTCTAAGGTCATGCCCAGTGGTTCAGTTTTAGAAGTTGTTGTTTTGTTCAGTTTCATTTTTTTGTTTTTTGATTGTCAGTGTTTCAGTATTTTTGTTTTTTCAGTATTAATGTTCCATTTAGTTTCAGTTCATTGAGTGATGGTTAATCCATTGGATTGATATGTTCTTGTGCATCACAATTAGGTTGTACTTGTATTTGGTGTCCGACATGGTTGGTTCCTGAAGCTAATATTGTAATTTTGGTACTCTATCAGCCTGAAATTAGATCTTCGTCGTGGCTTAAGAAGGTTGGTTATTAGATGCTGGGGTAGGCATTTGGACCTGTTCATTACTACTATGGGATAATTAGATGGTTTGTATTTTAAGCGTTTCTAGGAGTATAATTTTGGTCCAACCATTTATCTGAATACTTGTTAACTGATTGTTATGGCAATGACATTGTTTATTGTTTCAGTTTGATTTTTCAGTACACTGTTGTATGTTACTCTGCATAACCTTCACGAATTTGTTGCATATGAATGTTTTCCTTGTTCATCTATGAATCAGTAGTGATTTTGCTTGGTAACATGTCTGGACCAAAGGACTCTCTATGCTCCCCTCCTAAGATTTAGAATTGCTACATCCTTTTTCTATGTTTTTTTTTTCTGTTCAGTGGCATTAGTTTCAGTGCAAAACTAATGGGGGAAAAATAGAACTATTAGAATCTTTGATTTTTTTTTGTTACATTTCCCACCAGAAGGCACCTTCAGATTTCTATAAACTGTAGAAGTGAAATTTGTGCTGTAAATTGACAATGTTCATGCAAATTTAGAATGAAGCAACCTGAATTTGATATCAAATCTCCTTGGGTTACCTAATTGGTCAGTATACCTTGCTTACAAAATGTCTAATTCCACAAAATTAGCTCCATTGGTCAAATAAGAAATCTGATATGTTGTTATTATGACGAAGAAATGTATGGCCCTAACTTGAGGCTTAGTTATCACCAAATTACATTTTGAGCTATGCCTAACATACTTTCATAATCAATGATCTGTTACTATTCAGAAGAACAAATAAGCATTCTGTTTTCCTGACGTTACTAGAAATTTTACCATATTATGCATATGTTGATACTTTCCACCTTGATTCCAGTGAAGTGAGGATAGAAGGTCTGGAGACCCGTGATTATCTTGACAACCTTAGCCAGCAGGAACGTTTTACCAAACAGGAAGATGTTATAACATTTGAATCAGAGGTACCTTTCCTCTGTTTTGATATACATTCGACATGAATATGTGGGGTTTATCTGAGCATTTCAGCTATATGGATTAGTTCATTGAGAGTAAATTTGCTACAGTTGTCTTTTGGCTAGATGGATACAGTTGCATCCATGAATTTTCACAAATCAACTCGTGATTGTAAAGAGCTCTCTGAGTTTACTTTATTGCTGTTCTCTGAGTTTACTTTATTGCTGTTCTTTGAGTATGTGCAATATTAGGCAAGTCTATGTGTGATTAGCCATGATTAGCACCTTCTATGTATACTTGATTGTATTCCTTGTATACCCAGCCATATTGGCTATATATATGAAGGTCACCCCCCCATATTGGGTGTGAGGTGTGTCTCTACATGGTATCAGCCTATTAGATCATGTTTTCCTGCCCTTCCTCCTGCGTCTCTCCCCTTTTCATGAGTTCTTCTTCCACAAGGCGCAGCAGCTTTCATTCACTGCTGCGTCTTCCTCGCGCCCGTCCACCCTCACCGGTTGTTCTCCTCTCCCCCTCATCTCCGATGGCCTCTTCATCCTCCTCGGCAACAAGTGCCGGCACCCTGCCCGCGACAGGCACTCCAACCATGCCTGCCATGACCACCGGCGCTGCTGCCCCGATTGTTGCTCACAACTACGCCACAGTCAATGTCAAGTCCCACATCCCATTCACGTTGGACCTACAATCCAACTATTCCAAGTGGGCGTTCTTCTTCAAGTCGTTGTGCGGCAAGTTCGGCCTTCGCTCGCACATCGACAGCTCTGCTCCCCCTCGTCCTGATGATCCTCAGTGGGATGCCGCGGAGTGCTGCGTCCGCGGCTGGATCTCCGGCTCCGTCGACGACTCCGTCCTCGATCTCGCCATGGACGGTGCCGATCCCACCGCCCGTGATCTGTGGGTGGCCATTGAAGGGATCTTCCGCGCCAACCGGGAGCCCCGCGCCATCTTCCTCCTCAACGAATTCCACTCCATGGTGCAAGGTGACAGCACCATCTCGGCGTACTGCCAGCGGCTGAAGATCAAGGCCGCCGCTCTTCGTGACGTCGGGCACCCTGTCCAGGACTCACAGCTCGTCCTCGCCCTCCTTCGCGGCCTCAATCCTCGCTTCTCCAACACCGCCGACGACATCGCTAACTCCGCTGTTCTTCCCACATTCGCGAGGGCTCATGACATGCTGGCCCTCAAGGAGCTCCGTCTCACCAATGACGAAAAGACAGTCGCCAACACCGCTCTTCTCACCAACGCCGGCTCTGGCTGCACCAGCCCGGGCGGGTGTCGTGCTCTCGCTGCCACAGCCACCTCTAGAGGTCCACACAACCCACATGTGACCGCCATTTACTGGCAAAGGCTAAGGGGCGGCGGCGGTGGCAACAGCAACAACAACAAAGCAAGGGCAAGGGCAGTATTGAATAACCTCTCTGCTGCAGCAAGGGCGGCGTTAAAATAAACAGGTCAATACCGCCCCATGGGCCCCTGGTTTTGCTACAATCCATGGGCGCCCCAGGGTCCTCCTTCAGCACAGCAGCAGGCCGGCTGGCGTCTAGGCGTGCTTGGCGCCCCTCCTCCTCAGGCTCATACGGCCTTGGCGCCTCCACAGCCTCCCATGACATTTGCGCCGCTCCACGTCTCTCCACCGGCTCCCATGTGGAACTAGGACGGTCTCGTCGCTGCCCTCAATCAGATGCATCTCCAGGGACAGCATCCCTGGGTCCTAGATTCCAGCGCCTCCTCCCACATGAGCTCCTCGGATGGTATACTCCTCTCTCGTCACCCTCCTCATTCTTCCATTACAGTCGGCAATGGTGCACATCTTCCTGTTTCCTGTCGTGGCTAGTCTGTTCTTCATACACCATCATCCAATTTTCATCTTAATAATGTCTTAGTTGTCCCATCTCTAGTTTGCAATCTCCTATCTGTCCGTCAATTTACTAGGGACAACAACTGCTCTATAGAATTTGACGTTCTTGGTTTTTCTGTCAAGGATATCCCGACCCGACGCGTGATGCTTCACTGCAATAGTGCTGGTGATCTTTACACCTTCCCTGCTGCATCTTCCGCTCCACACGCCAACATTGCTGCCTCCACCGACCTCTGGCATCACCGTCTTGGTCATCCTAGCTCCGCCACCATTGACATCCTTCGTCGTAATGCGTCCATCAGCTGTAATAAATTAGAGCAGTTGCTATGTCATTCCTGTCAGCTTGGCAAACATGTGCGCCTCCCTTTTTCAGATTCCAGTTCACATACTTCTATGCCATTTGAACTTGTTCACTGTGATGTATGGACATCCCCGGTTGCAAGTGTCTCCGGGTATCAATATTATCTAGTTTTACTTGATGATTATACTCATTTATGTTGGACTTTTCCACTCATTCGCAAATCTGAAGTCTCCACACATATTGCAATTTTTTGCAATTATGTCCACACTCAATTCAGCCTTGCCATCAAGGTTGTCCAAACCGACAATGGCACTGAGTTCGTCAACCACACCCTCCATACTCTCTTTGCTTCTCGTGGTATTCATTTACGCCTCTCGTGTCCATATACCTCCCCACAAAATGGCAAATCTGAACGTCTTCTTCGCACATTAAACAACATCAGTCGCACAATGCTCCTCAATGCACACATGCCTCCTCAGTACTGGGCTGAGGCGCTCGCCACAGCCACATATCTTCTGAACAGGCGTCCATGCTCCACTGTTAGCCACGGCATTCCATATACTCTCCTCCACAACAAACCTCCCGAGTATTCCCACCTACGTGTCTTTGGGTGTCCATGTTATCCAAACTTGTCCGCCACGGCTCGCCACAAACTCTCTCCTCGCTCCACAGCATGTGTCTTCCTCGGATATCCATCTTCCCACAAGGGGTACCGCTGTCTCGACATGGCCACTAAGCGCGTCATCATCTCTCGCCATGTGGTCTTCGATGAGACTTGTTTTCCCTTCGGGCTTTACCCCTCCAGGTCTTCGCACAGCGATCTGGATTTTTTGATTGCAGGAACTACAGTGCCGGTGCATCCTGCATCCTTGCCATCTGCTGCTGGGTCGCCACCTCCTAGTTCCATTGAGGAGCTGACCGACGCCCCCGCCATCCTGTTCCACGGCCCTGTACTTCCTGCCGCTCCACCAGCAGCAGCTCCATCACCTGCTACTTCTCCAGCGGCTGCTCCGTCTCCAGTGGCTGCACCTCCAGCGGCTGGGACATCCGCTTCGTCTACAGCAGGCATCCCCGGGGGCCTGACGGCTCCTCTACAGCACAAGGCCCAGCTCCAGCATCTGCTCAGCCGCCTCCTGCCTCTGTCCAGCAGGCTCCTGCTCCTATACAGCCGGTGGCTGCTCCTGTCCAGCAGCCAACGACGTCTGCAGCTCCTTCGGCACCTCCCTTCCAACCGGAACGCCGCATTACACGGACCCAGTCCGGGGCCATACCGGTTATGCGGTATGTTGGCCTCTCTGCGACGACCACTCCGTCTCCACTTCCCTCCAGCTACCGTGGCGGTTTTGCTGATCCAAACTGGCGCGCGGCAATGGCTGAGGAGTACCAGGCGCTCATCGACAACGGAACATGGCGCCTCGTACCCCGCCCACCCGGCGCCAATGTGGTCACCGGCAAGTGGATCTTCAAGCACAAGTACCACTCCGATGGTACCCTCGCCCGTCACAAGGCTCGCTGGGTGGTTCGTGGCTTCTCTCAGCGCCACGGCATCGACTACGACGAAACCTTCAGCCCAGTGGTCAAACCAGCCACCATCCGAACTGTCCTCAGCATTGCTGCCTCCCGCACCTGGCCTATTCATCAGCTCGATGTCAAGAACGCTTTCCTCCATGGCCATCTGGAGGAGACCGTCAACTGCCAGCAGCCCCCAGGCTTCGTCGATCCTGAGCTTCCTGATCATGTGTGCCTGTTGCAGCGCTCCCTCTACGGCCTGAAGCAGGCTTCCCGAGCCTGGTACCAGCGATTTGCGACATATATTCGCTAGCTCGGCTTCGTCGCCTTGGCTTCCGACACCTCCCTCTTTGTCTACAAAGACGGGACCAGCATCGCCTACCTGCTTCTGTACGTCGACGACATCGTCCTCACTGCGTCCTCGACGGCCCTGCTACAGCAGATCATTAGGCGCCTCCACTCTGAGTTCGCCATGACTGACCTGGGTGCACTCCATCACTTTCTCGGCATCTCCGTCACTCGCTCCGCCGACGGGCTGTTCTTATCACAGCGACAGTACGCTGTTGAGCTTCTTCAACGCGCCGGCATGGCTGAGTGTCACTCTACAACGACACCTGTTGACACTCATGCCAAGCTATCTGCCACCGCTGGTGCCCCTGTTGCTGATCCATCCGCGTATCGGAGTCTTGCTGGTGCACTCCAGTACCTCACGCTGACCCATCCTGACTTGGCATACGCCGTCCAACAGGTGTGCCTCTTCATGCATGATCCCCGCGAGCCGCATCTCTCGATGATCAAGCGGATTCTACGCTACCTGAAGGGCACTCTCCTCCGGCCTCCACATTGGTGTCGGCCCTGTTCAGTCACTGATCGCCTATTCCGATGTCGACTGAGCTGGCTGCCCCGACTCTCGGCGCTCAACCTCCGGCTACTGTGTCTACCTCGGCGACAATCTGATTTCCTGGTCCTCCAAGCGCCAGACCACGGTCTCCCGCTCCAGTGCCAAAGCTGAGTACCGTGCTGTTGCTCATGTGGTGGTCGAGTGTTGCTGGCTGCGCCAGCTCCTGCAGGAGCTCCATGTTCCTCTTGCTTCGGCGACGGTTGTTTACTGCGACAATGTCAGCGCTGTCTACATGACAACCAATCCAGTTCATCATCGCCGAACGAAGCACATTGAGATTGATATTCACTTCGTCCGTGAGAAGGTCGCCTTGGGCCAAGTTCGGGTCCTTCATGTGCCGTCCTCTCACCAGTTCGCAGACATCATGACCAAGGGTCTTCCTGTACAGTTATTTACTGATTTTAGGTCCAGTCTTGCATCCGGGATCCTCCCGCTTAGACTGCGGGCGGGTATTAGGCAAGTCTATGTGTGATTAGCCATGATTTTTGATTGTATTCCTTGTATACCCAGCCATATTGGCTATATATATGAAGGTCACCCCCATATTGGGTGTGAGGTGTGTCTCTACATGCAAGTAGCTTTAACCTGCTCCCCTGTCCCGGTTGAAATACTTTTGAGATTTAACTGGTAGTTGCCATCTGGGAACTTGCAACAAGCTTGAAGAGTGGTGTCTGAAATTAGTTTCAAGTCAAGCATATTGATTTATTGAAGCTCAGCTCGTCAAAGTTTGCTTATTCTTTTTGCCTGCTCTTGAGTCTCTCTCGTTAATTGTTCCATATTTAGACCTGAAGGTGGTAACTACTGGTGCAGGTTGATGGAGTCTATGTTGGCTGCCCAGGCCTAATAGCTGTTATTGACCATGAAAAGAAACGCACATTCATTGTCCGAAAAGAAGGCCTTCCTGATATTGGTAAGATGATACGCTTTTGCTGCCTCGTCGAACGAGATAACACAATTTCGTAACCGTGTTCCTGCACTTTTATCTTGGCCGGCTGCATTCAGTTGTGTGGAAGTGGAACCCCTGGGAGAAGAAGTCCAAGACGATGACAGACTTTGGCGACGACGAGTACAAGCAGATGCTGTGCGTGGATGTGGCGGCAGTCGAGAGGGTCATATTCAGCCGGCGAGGAGTGGACGGGGAAGCTGGAGCTCTCCGCCGTGGCGTCGACCAACTGCAGCGACCACTTGGATCACCCGGCAGGCTGTAGAGCACTGGATGGGTTCGTTCGCCCCTACTTTTTAGGTCCGGCCCTGCAGGCTGCACCGCTGCACTACTGCAGTATGATGTGCCTGCCAGGCGTGTCATGTGTGAGTTAAACTTAATATCAGATGCAAGTATTGTTGTGAATCTGTGATCGACATGTTCGATGTTCCTGGAGTACGAAATCTCAAGCGTTATCTGCATCTTTCTACTACATCTCGGAACAGAGGCGCTAACAGTCCTGAAGCTAACTTGTACTGCTACCATCAGTCCTAGCAGTTTTTCAATCATTTGGCGCCGTGTTAGGGTTTTAGTATTTCAATCATTTTTTTATTGTGCTCAGCTTAATAAAATCTGATTGTTTTATTCCTTCGTATCTTCTGGTTTTTAAATCAGTTTGAGTTGTGATGTGTCAGTTCTTAATTGGTTGAAAATATGGATGCATGTTCGCTTGCTCGTAAACGATCGTAAATTTCTAGCCGGGAACAGTGTTTTTCTCTCACACCAAACCAGCCAGCAGTAAATAATCCACGATACGATACGGCCTCTCGAACAGGCTGTCTGGTTGATTGAATGAAACAGAATCAACCGAGTGTTTTGTAGTCGGAACACTAATGAACTTGTGGTGTAATATATATTGATGAATTACCGAGAATGCATCCGTTGTCATATATGGTCTAGATTATTTAATTCAATGTATGAGCTGAAGTAAAACTAAATATAAATATTTAAATGGGTTGCATAGGAAACAACTTGGGGTGATGAAATAAAAGGATGATAATTATTATTTAATGAAGCGCAGGGTAGCTGTAGGTCTATGGTTAGCCTAGAGGGGGGTGAATAGGCTCTGTTAAAATAAACACTCAAACTTTCGTTAAATTCAACCCGCGGCACTGTCGCTCTGCGGCACTACCGAGCCAAGACAGCGGCACTACCGCACCTACAGACAAATTCATGGCACAATTCAAAAACTGTGAATGGAAACTTGAATCGGATAAATTTCTGAGCTTTCTGCAGGTACATGTAACACAAATCAACAGCTAGAAGTGGTAGGAACACCACACACAAATAGATCGACCACAAACCCTAGAAATCACCTCAATACAATATGAAATGCAAGTGAAATAACTTAAGCACAAGATGACACAAGGATTTATCCCGTGGTTCAGCATGCCACCAAGGCTTGCCTAAGTCCATGTTGTTGAGGTTAGCCACTAAGGCTTAGGGCTTTGCAACCCTTCCTCGTTCTTAAGTCAAGAGCCTTAACTCTTGAGATGAGGGGTGAGTTTACTAACTTCAAGAGATGGTTACAAACCTTTCAGGGCTACCACACAAGTGGCAAGTGTAACACACTCGGTGTTACACTATAAATCATTTACTTAAACATGTCATGAGCATCATGCTTATGTTTTAATGCATGTAATAAGGTGTGTAGATCAATTTCCGTAACTCGAAACGATCAACAAAAATGCGAAACAAAAGTTAACTCAATAGTCATGTTATATCACTTAAGGTTTAAAACCAATTTTTATTAACAAAAAATGATATAGAACATGTATGTGATATTTGAATAAAGTTTGAAGTACAAACTTTGTAGATGACAATGAAATACTTGCGGTCGAAAAATGATATTACTAGCTAATATTTCCCATAGCTTAGAAATGCAATTTGAATTAGAGTTCAACTCAAAACTTAGAAAAATTTCGAAGTCTGTTGACAGTTAGACATTGCTATGTTTAGCAAACTATTATGAGGAATTAGGTTAAAGAGCGATGTAGTGTTATAACTTGATTAAGTAGCCTCATATACCATCTTGAGTGTACTGAAGACCGTTTATGTTTAGGAGTAACGGTTTGGCCACGATAGAAGCTTTAAAATCCGTGCACTGCACGTTTCCGATTTGTTTCCCTCGCGTGGGCGCGGTCACCGCGCATCAGTGGTCGTCGTCGTCGCGTCGGTGCGCCTCGCGCACGCCCACGTGTTGCTGCGCTAGGCTGGCCGTGTGCCGTGGGATTAGTCATGGGCACTGCCGTGTGAGGCCGCCGCTGCTGCCGCGCGGACATGCCGCGCTGCCGCCCGCCCTGCGTGCTGCCCTGCTGCTGTGTTGCTGCGGCTGCGGCTGCTCTGCCTCTCTACTCGCTGCGCCGCTGCCACGCGTTGCCGGCGTGCACGTGGGGTGCTCCTGTTGCACTCACGTCGTCGCCTCGCCTTAATGGCACTGTGGCCGCGCGGGCCATGCCACGCCTGCCAGTCTCACGGGCACACGGCCGGTTGTGGAGGGCGCGCTCGTTGTTTGCACCTTGGACGGAAGCACTCGGTCGCGACATACGTGTCCCGCCAGGGCGCACCGCCGCGCCACTGCCGCCGCCATATTTTCCCCTGCTGCACCTCTGCCCGCCGCGGTCACATCGCGGCCACTGAGGGCCTGAGCGTGGGCACAAGCCATCAATTCTTTGCGCTCGTGGGTGCGCACGGTCGCCAGTGTCTCAACCGCCGCCTCACCGCTTTGATTTGCATCACGACGAGCCCCAATTTGGGAGCTTCCTCTCCGCCGCGCCATTTTAGGCCGCGTAAGGCGACGGCCAGGGGCAGCCTCCAGCTCACCTTTCCAGGCCAATCTAGCTATGCCTCTAGTTTAGCCTCCATCCCCACTTCACCCTGCGCCCCCACGTACACCTCTCTGCCTCGCCATAGCCACTGACGTGGCCGCGCCGTCTCGGAGCGCCGCCGCATCCCACCACCCGCACGTGGCTAGCCTTGTTCAGGGAATCTCCGGCCAAACCACCACCGCAGCCGCAGCCCGAGTAAGATAGTGATGCTATAGCGCTAGCTAGTTCACCCCGCGGTGGCTTAGGGTGGCCGGCATGGCCGCGCCACTGTCGCGCATGGCCGCGCGCCGGGGTCCCCACTTCCGCGAGCTCCGCCACTCCTGTAACCTAGGCTAGTGTAGGCACAAGGGTTGTAGACGGGGGTCGGCCCGTTAGTGGAGCCAACGTGGGTCCCAGCTGGTCGGCGTGGCCGTCCAATGCCATCGCCGCCGTGCTTGGGGGTGGCCGGAGGACCGGGCCGTTGTAAAGGAGAGAAAGGAGAAGGGCTTATTTGCATAGGAGTAGTCTATAGGAATAGTGTTGTGGACCTCGGGTTGAATTGTCGGTAGCTCAAGGGTGTTTGTGCATATGTGCCAGCGCGCGGGCTCCCCGCCGTGGGCTGCCTCCGCGCGTGGGCCGCCACGTGCTCACGCGCGCGCACGTTCCCCCACGTGGGCCGCGTGGGCCGAAATCAGTTTAGTTTTTTCGTGGAAAATAGAAATAGCTTTTTATTTGTAATTATGAGCTGAACTTTGGTAAATCATATAAAATCATGTAGGTATCCAAAAATTATGAAACTAATTTTGTTAAGTTCCTAAATTTTTGCTCTATCTGTTAGTGTATTTAGTTCAGATATATATTTGTTGATACCAGGAACTATTAAATCATTTGAGAGTGCTTAATATTATTAGGTTAAATATTGTAGGAATTTTTGTGGTAAATTGGTGATGGCTTTAGCTTTGAAAAAAAATCAGTAGCTTCATGGTATTATTAGGTGTTCACTGTAGTTTTTGTAGCCTTAGAGTAGGTTAATAATAGGGTAGCTAAGTACTCCTTGTTTTAGTATATATGAAATCATAAATAAAGTAAGAAATGCATTTTTGGTTGTTAAGATAATACTTGAATGTTTCATACCTGTTTAGTGGAAAGGATGGGTAGCTTAGTATCTTAGTCATTAGAGTTAGCTTAGTAGCTTGGTAGATGTATTGTTATTTTAAGAGCTGTTGTTGCTAAAATGCTAAGTGTTGCATCATCATTGCATGCATGTAGAGAACGCGTTGGTGGAGTTCGTGACCGCTAGAGAGCAGGAATACGAGGAGGTGATTGAGGAGAACGAGGAGGAGGTCTTCATACAGGAGGAAGCCTCGGAGCCACCGACGACTGACATAGCTGACCACCCGTCTGTCCAAGGCAAGCCCCGGTGCATAACCTTTATTTTGAATAATCACTATATATATATGATGTGCATTTATGTTACAGGCATTTTATAGAAACTACATGCATAGATAACCTACCTATGAGTCCTACTAGTATAGATCGAGTAGCTGCTATGCTTAGGCTATCGGTAGCGTGAGTAACCTACCATTACTCACAATAGGTGATTATTATTATCACTCTCATGATAAAATAATGAAAAGAAATGGAGACCGGGTAGGGATATGGTACGGGTATTGGTGGGTGTAAGAGGTTGTGTCCCACGGCCAACGGAGCATAGCTTGGTTACACTGCTTTCCCTGTCCATATCGGTTAAGGACCGACCATTGCATTGGGTTCTAATCAGGTCACAGACTTATTATCCTGAGCACATACTTGTTTATGGGAGCAAGGAAGGCTTGTTGCTCTCTTGTCATGGGTTTTGGCTCTTTTCGGACCGACCGATTGGAGGCGAGGATGGTGGAGGTCTAAGCACCACACTGAGTCCGAGACTCAGGTGTGAGGGCTTGGAGTCCAAGTTTGAACGGAGACCTAGACCCCTTGATAGGAGAGTGGTGGGTTGGTCCTACTTGTGCCTGGGGTACAAACGGGGCATGTGTTTTGGGGTACACAGCTGGGCTACATTGATTCGCGAATCGCCGGGTAATCTGGTACGACTTGTCTACAATCTAGCACCATAGTAAGAACTGGAAGATGAAAGATGATGAAATAGATCTGTTTGCTCAACTCTTACTTGAAAGTAGAATATGTGCTTACTTAGAATGGTTAGATAATGAACTAATCATGACTGCTACTAAGAAACATACATAAGGATTCACTACTAGTATTGCTTTCCGCAAAAAGAAAATCCAGCAAACCATAAAGCTTATCATATCCTCTGGAGTCGGGAAATTATTTCCACTAGTCGGGTAAGTCTTGCGAGTACATTGTGTACTCAGGGTTTATTTATCCCTGTTGCAAGTGCAGCTTGAAGAGTAGCTGTTGT